AAAACTATGAAAAAGGGCTCTGACATGGAAAATGGCTATCGCTGCTGTTTAGACATTCTCTGTAAGCTACAGTTAAACTAATAAAGTGGCTATCTTCAAAAACTTGTTGGACCCCTGTTGACACCATGTACATGCCAAATGTATTATTTCTCCATGAACCAAAAAAACATCCAGTATTCTAGTAAAAATTATTAGCTGATGCATTTAACTGTCCCTGAGAAAATCATTTGGCAAGAATTAAGGAGCTGGTATTCAGGGATACCAGCTTCCCAGTTTTCTGACATAGAAACTCTACATGGGTCCTATTTGTGTGTTTGACAGTTGGTCAGATCTGAGTATTTTAACTTGGGCTTTAGGGAATAATGACATTTTTCTCACATTTTATGGGCTAAACTATAAAGTGATTATGAAAGAGCCATGTTTTCTGTGTGTTACTTGGGTGAAAGCACTGAAAAGAACTGAGGCAATCCAACAAATCACAACTTTACAACAAATGAGATCCAAGCCGTTTGTGTTTTACACCTTCAGCACCTCCATCTTGTACTGTAGACCTGGACTGTGAGATGGAGGATGCAGAGCCAGCATAGCTGATATTTTACTAATTTCCAACAAATTGACCCTTAATCAAATGATGTAAAATGGAGCACACCTGGAGCATTTGGGGCCCCTGGGCATTTGGTCGCCTTGGTGGAGAGGAACTCTAATGATAAATAAAGCATCATATAGATGAATACAAAGCCACAGACAGTCATATATTCCACCACATCCACAAAAATAGTAACATCCCGGTGTAAACATAGTGGCGATGCTCTTTCCTCCCAGAGCAGTGGGTTTTTTGCCCCTCCTCCTGGTCTGTCAGGCTGGCACACCTTTCCTCTCCGGTCCTCCACCGTTTCTTACCTTCTTGCCGCTCCTTCCAGCCTCGTTGTCTGGCTGTGAACTCTCACCCCAGCTGCTTAGGAAAAGTCATACAGGCAGAGGCCCGTGCTGCAGTAAGGGGGCGTAATACGAGGAGAAAAATAACATTTTTTTTTAACTGTTCTCACTCTGCATCTTTTATTCGTATCTCTGTCGTGCAAGTGCCACATCCCGCTACCAGCAGCAGCCGCCGCCGATAACTAATCGCAGCCTCAATGCTCGTCTCGCATTAGGGCTTATTAAAAAAAAATCCGTGCCAGACATGTGAGTAAACCATCGTTGTCGTTATTCACTTACTGACTGCTATGTGCTGACGCTATTGCATCCTCTCACCGGTGAGAACAAACGGTCAGTGGACCGTGTCACTGTGCGTTTGGTGTCAGGGTGCTGGTTGCGTGGCTGTGCGGGGGTCTGTGCACACTGACGGGGCAGGTGAAGCCCCGCTGTCGGTTTGTTTTGGGGGGCTCTGCGTCGGCGTGGCTAATCGAGCTAAAGGCTGTGGTTTTTTTTTTCTGCTGTAAATATCTCAGACGGAGGGGAAGCCCATTCAGTCACTGGCTGTATGTCCAGCGTGTAACGTAGCCCAGCGCTTTAGCCCGGTTGCATCGCTTCCAGGGAGCTGTGCGTGACCTGGTGTGGAGTCCAGTCTGGCACCTCCAGTCAGATGCGGAGGCCCAGGTTCGAGCACACACAATGCGGCGGTGTAGCATGTGTAAGGTTGACAGGGAGCACAGGCTGAGCAGAAATCACGCGAAGGTCCCTGGTGCAGATGTGAGCACAAAGAGAGGAGATGTTAAGTGCTACATTCCAGTCTAGAGCTCAGATGGGATTTGATGAAATAATCCTATGAAGGTGCACATCTGGTTTTGATTTTCAGCAGCTTTCTAGGGAACTTACTATTTTATTTTTAACCTATCATTTGTATATTGTAATGTATCCCAAAATAATCACAACTAGAAAGGTCCACTTACTAACTTTAAACTGGAATCCATCAAGTCAACTTTTTCCTCAACTCTGGGTGTCTGCATATTGCCTATAAATACTGGTTTAATACCAGTTATTCCAAAAATTCAAATCTGGACACTACAGGGTTTAGAGCTGCAGTTAACGATTCTATTCACTGTCTGTTAATCTTTCATCTTCTGTCTCTATAATGTGAAAAATGCTCACTGCAATTTCCCAGAGTCCAAGGTTAAATCTAAGATGTCTTACTTTGTTCATCCAGAACGTAAAGATATTCACTTTACTATGGTATGTGACAAAGAAAAGCATACAATTCTCACATTTGAGAACCAGAGGATGTTTGCTTAAAAATGGCTGAAATGATTATTTGGCTTTAAAAATGACTGTTGATTCATTTTCTGGCTATCCATTAATTGACTAATTGTTGATCATTTTAATTTAAGATAACATGGGGTTTGCCGTGGTACTAAAAACCGAATCCCCCCAAGATGTAGACGATAGAGGAACTGCTTCATTTTCTAATTTAAAAAGACTGGATTTATTGTGAGTGTGGGTGTGTGTGGTGGTCTGTCTCTTAGTGGCGACCTGACCGGGGTATACTCCGTCTCTCGCCTAATGTCAGCTGGGATTCGCTCCAGCCCCCACGACCCTCGTTAGGATAAGCGGTGCAGATAATGGACGGATCGATAGATGTATTGTGAATTGGTTAGATTGTGGCTGATACCAAGACCATTAAGTAATGTCAGTATTGGTAAAAATACTTATTGAACATATTGAATCAGTGCGTTCCTACATTTAACCAGATTTCCCTGTCTTCATCAACAAGTTATGATATTTGCTCCAGTATTTATTGAAGGGAGGTGACAGGAAATGATGGGGGAGAGAGGAGGGATGACATGCAACACATTCGGCGTCTTAAATTCACCTTTGTTTCTACAAAAATTAACAAAAGTTATATTGAGCGTTAACAGAAAATGTCTAAGCCTAAACCTGAATGTTGCTCCTGGCTTCAGGGGGGAGAACATCAGGCTTCTCTTGAAGATGTCAGTCCAACAGACTAAGTGGCTTTTGATGCTGATGCCCAGCAGAAGATCCTGGGACTGAGACGCGAATCCTTTTACACTGATGGCCTGGACTGAGTAAGAAGTTTAAGTGTGAATGCTGGCTGAAGTAGACACATAGTGTTATTTTGTTTGTGTTGGATAAAAAGCTTGAAGTTGATGTTGTTAATGGCGGTGAGTGATGATGTTTGCTTCCTGTGCGGCAGGTTTCAGCTGGCCTGCTGAAGCTATGGGGAGCTGTTGGAGCTGTCTGTACAGAGACCCCATCCGAGACAACCATCTCACTAAATTTAAGGTCAAGAGTCTGTCTTGTATTGTGGTTGAACCATGTGTGATTATACTGTAATAAGCTAATATAGTTTACAACGTGTTCCAAACATTTGTTCTTCGATTCCTTCATCCCATGTTATAGTTTTTCCTCTGTTTCCTTTAGGTCACCAATGTGGATGATGAGGGCAACAAACTGGGCTCTGGCATCATGGAGCTCACCCAGACTGAGCTCATTCTTCACACACGTAAGAGAGACGCCATCCGGTGGCCGTATCTCTGCCTGCGACGCTACGGCTACGACTCCAACCTGTTCTCTTTTGAGAGCGGTCGCCGCTGTCAGACCGGGCAAGGTAGGTGGATTTTTCTCTGTTTCGCAGCTTACACAGCCATGGGGTTTATATATAGGGGGGCACTGGATGTTTTATATGTTACCATCTGATATTTATGGTTTAAATGTACATGTTCCTTTTCATGGTGCTTACTAGGACTTTTCCACAGAAGACATTTTGACATGTCCGATTAGGAAAAGCACAGGTGTAAATAATAAAACAAATGATAGCAACATTTTATTTATGTGCTCCACTTTCAGCCTTGGTGTTGTGCATGCTGTCACGTTGTCCTGCCTCGCTGGGAAACGTGAAAAGGACAGAGCCTTTGTTAGTCTTACTGTTAAAATGTGTGCTGTGAAAAAGGGCCGGTGCCACACCTGACCGGGCAGATGTGAGTTATGTGGGACAAAAAATTGACATCAGGATGAAGACTTTGCTTGTTTTATCCTGGGTCCTAATCTTGGATGCCTCATGACATCCAAAAAAAAAAGAGCGAGTGCCAGCATTTTTTAAAAATTATTATTATTTTTTTTGTTGCCTTTACTAGATTCACACTTTACATCATGTTTTGTGGCTCTTTCTTGTATAACCTTTTTTTTTGTGTGTGCAGTTGTAACCATTTGCACTTTTGACAAACTGGGATGGGAAAAAAAATCTTTTTGTGTTTCTCTTGTGTTATTGGTGACTGATTTTAACCATAACAACATTTTTGTTTTGCTCCTTTGAATTAGGGATCTTTGCGTTCAAGTGTTCCCGGGCTGAAGAGATCTTCAACCTGCTGCAGGAGCTGATGCAGTGTAACAGCATTAACGTGGTAGAAGAGTCGATGATGATGAGTCGCAGTGGTCACACACCAGAGATGGACATGTCTCGCACGCCGCAGACACCCAACAGTGAGTTACACAACCACACAAACACATCTTGCTAATTATACACTGGATTTGAGATTAATTGTAGAACATGCATGCAGCTTTACAGCAGTAAATTTAGATGAATTTGTAAGCTATTAATAGACACTTGTTAGACTGAGTCAGAGCTACAAATGTATCCAAATAACACCTGGTGGAGCTCAGCCTCAGCGCCTCCACTTCATACAGCTGGTTCGAGCTGGGTGACAAGTTACTTTTATCACTAATTTAATATTTATTTTTATAACTGTACTGTGACAAAATTATCATATTCAGATGTGGTTGCTCTTAGTCCTTATGTCTAAATGAATTATAGTTGAATCTTACTAAACTCTGAAGGTGCAATATCGTTAATTCCTGATTGACCCTATAATTCTTTGAAATTCAGGACTTTAGTCACAACAAGTTCAAGTAATATGACAATTGTGGCAAGTTTTTTGTGTCATTCTTGAAACTTCAGTATTAGATGTTGGTGTGTTTTGTATAACTAAATCAGCTGGTTGTAGGTTTTGGCTATAGCTACAAAAAGATTTGAATAATACTTCATGAAATTAAATGATTAATTCGGAGCTGAAACCAAAAGAACTGGAATGTAAATGATTGAATACATTGATCAGAAGATAAAGTATATTCACTGGAACTTCTTAATGCTGGTTTTAAAATGTTAACTTTCAAGAGAGACCAGTGGCTTGATACTGTTCATAAAACATGATTTTCTCTGAACACGGTTAGCTTGCATGTGTCAAGTGTACCGAATCAGAGCGCCACCTGATCACAAACACCACCTTGCAATTCTTTGTCAGTGTCTTTATATTGTCACACAACTATGTTTGCAGCTCCAGCATTCCCTGTCCAGGCTTTTCCCAACGGATACCCTGGTTATCCAATCAGAGGTGACACCTCCCAGCCCTCTCTTCCAGATGATCATGGACATAGTCTCATAGGTCTGGAGGACCAGGTAAGACCTGTCTGTGCTTCTTATAACTCTCTGAGCCCATGTTAGTTCACAGGTGACCCAGGTGCTATTTTTCTTAACAGACCCACACCTATGTAAATACTGTTAGTATGGAGGGGGATCTCTCTATGCGTCACTGTGTGCACTCCCTACCTGAGGTGCGGCCTAGCACTTTCCCTGAAACAACACGGGGAGCCATGCCTGTCGGGGGCCAAGGGAACCCACAGTCCAACCTGCGGTGCTGTCCCCTCGAGGAGCATAAAGATCCTCAGGTGTTCCTACAGCCGTCCTCACAGGAGGTCAAATTCATGCTGGGCCCCACTCCAGCACAGCGCCATCTGCTGGAGAGAGAGAGGGAGAGGCACGGACTCAATCCCCACAACCTTCAGCCAGTAGAGGGGGCAACAGGCTCAGAGACGGAAGGAGACGAGCCCTCTATGCATCTGTGCAATTCTTACTCCTATCACCATTTCCATCATCACATGCACCGGCACCCACGCCCGGCGAGGCGGCGGGAAGCAGCGGCTGAGCCCCAGTAGTGTGTCGCAGTCTGTCGGGTCAAGCAGCAGCAGCAGTACTGGGGACAGTCATTCCCACTCCCTCCTGCACCCACATGCCCACGGCCCGGCGTCTCTACCCCCTCAGGGCTATGCTTGTGAGAGGGGCATGGGTGGAGGTCACCATCGGACAGCTCTGCTTAACTACGAGAACCTGCCTTCTCTGCCGCCAGTGTGGGAGTACAGTGCTCTGCAACGGGATGATGAGCAGGAAGAGGAAGACGATGAGCAGGATGAGGAGGAATATGAAGAAGAAGAGGAAGACTTTGACGAGTACGAGTTCTCAGAAGGCCCCGGGACACCCAACGGGTACCACCAGGATGGTCGGGGCATCCACAGAGATGCCCTGCAGAACTATGTCAACACAGAGCAGGTCCAGCCGCCACGGCTTCGGCACGCCTGCCCCCCACATGCACGGCCGTGTCAGCCAGACAGAGGGGGGGGGATATTTAGCTTTGATTTCCGCAGACGATCGAGGTCAGGGGTTGGAGGCTGTGAGCACAGCCACATGCCTCCATCGCAGCAGCTGAATTACATCCAGGTGGACCTAGAGGGAGAACCTCCCTGCCAAGCCCTCAGCAGCGGGGGTGTGCAGACTCAGACACAGCATCAGCGCCTGCCACCCAAAACACATGGGCCCCAGGCACCACGGCGCAGTGAATGCTACGCAGTCATTGACCTGAAGAAGACAGCTGCCATGTCCAATCTGCAGAAGGCTCTGCCTCGGGATGATGGGACTTCCAGAAAGACTCGCCACAACAGCACAGACCTGCCTGTGTAAACGGTGTTCAAAGTGAAGAGGAACGGCGAAGACGGATGAAGGCTTACCCTCATCATAGCACACTGGACCCTTCACTGTCATCCATCCATTCAACTGTCGGGCTGACCAAAACAGTACAGGTACCTAATTAGAAACTTAGTGAAACCTATCTGTGCATATAAAATGAAATGAGGCATCTCTAAGGAGAATCTGCCATTTTATTCTGTGTTATTTATTAGATATGTAGTGTGAAGACATCTGCAGTATTTACTGCAAATACTGTTTGCTTGATATATGGATCTATGACTTAGAGCAGAGACCTATGTTTTCAGTGGAAGCATTCATTGCCATACTGTATTCGCAGATTTTAATTCTTAAACCCACCTCGGCTCATGATTATTATTGTTCCTATCACTTACTTAGGTTACATCCATGTGTTTTTGTTTGTTTGTTTCTTTGTTTTTTTTTACTTAAATACTGTAAAAGTCAAAAATGTGACCCTCATTACCAAAAGGCTTGGAGGAGTTGTTGGCATGCAGGAAGGTTTATGGTTCCTCATAGCTACCGACCACTAGTCATACCTCATCGGAAGCACCTGAGTCTAATGCTGCGGCTGGTAGATGAGACCCGTCTTTGTTACTATATGCCTATAGAGCATTTTGCACACAATCCAATGGAATTGTATTTTATCATATTTTAGAAATAGTTTTGTCACATTCAAGTTGGGGGAAAAAAGATTTAAATGACCAACAGAGCAGGTATTTGATATTTAAAGAATTAGACTAAACTGAACGATGGTAAAAGTAGCACACATGGATTCAACGAGCTTTGACTCCCTCATATATCCACATGCAGCAAATGAAAAAGTAGCATATCATCTTCAGTCACACCTCCTGGTTATCATCCCAGACCTGCAGGACGTCCATGTGTTTTACTTTCTTGTCACGTTGCACTTTTGACCCTGGGCCACTGAAACGTACTGTCACTGCTCACTTTTTCCAGAAGCAGGGGGCCAAATACATCATGGACACTTAGGCAGCATTGTAGATAGGGTTTATTTAAATGTTTTGATGGAGACATCGATAACCTCAAACACTGGCATTAAGCTATAACCTCATATGAAATGTGCAGAATCTATAATTTGCCAGTTATCAAGTGTGAATGGTCTGTAAAGGGTCGTCAAGTACGTCACAAAGTCATGCAGTGAAGATTTTTGTGAGGCTATTTATCAACTCTCTTAGTCAGATATTTATTTATTTATATATTTTATTTATTCATTCATTTTTTCTAACTGTAATAATTTTTTTTTCCCATATGAGGACCAGCGTTTTGTAATCCAGTTGGTAATATGGAGACCAAAGTTTCACCTCAAATTATCACTGGATACTGGTGTATTACTGTTATAACTGTGCTTAATTATATTTTGAAAAAAAAAAGACTATTTATATTTTAAGTGCCAAAACTTCATTGCAAACTGTATGATAAATAAAATAAAATGTGCCATTAGGATTTATTGAACAGGTGACAGTGCTCGGGATACAAATTTTAACAAATACCTGAATCTAACTTTTTAAGGATAATAGAAATTAAATAATAAAAATTGCACCTTCCACCTCATCCACATCGACAGCCATTTTGGAGCGGGATGTAACGAGGATGTTGTACCTTGATAATCTCAGTTTGGGTGGTTTTTATGCTGCTACATGTACATACTGACGGTAGCCCATGTAAGCTACAGGTACTTGTCAAAATGAAAAGTGATGTCAGATCTTTTACCATATTGTTCATAGAAGTAGCATTGTTGTCTTCTTCTGAGATGATTTCTGAGCAGTAGAAATGTAATGTACCATTTGTGTTTCATTTGGCCAAAACTGAATTTGTTTTCCTGACTGGTAGGAGAGGTAAGGGAAGCACAGGCACATCGATGCTGTCATGTTTTTGTTCAGGTGTCATATCAAGTTGATATTTTCAGCTGACGAAGGAAGGCCAACTTATCTAGATTTATACAAATGTATCGGTTGTCAGATGCAGGTGTATTGTGGCATTTAATTGAAGTTGATATATTTTCATTAAAGAGCTGAATATGAAACACATACACATTTTCTGATACAGAAGGTTTTTTGGCTTCTGTTTAACATGACTACAAGTATTGAAGCAGGTGGAATGCATATATAATTTCTTCAAATTCACGTGTGCCAAAAAACAGGTTCAGGTTTGTCATTGGTGCTCACATCACCATTGTCCAACTGAGCCCTCCAAAGACAGAAATCTCTCACATGAATTAACAGAAACATCAAACTTCAACTGAAAAGTTTGTGTTCTCAGTCATTTAGCTTGTGACAGTCAGCAAATAATAAAATAAGCCCAGCATAACTTTTCCTGAACCCAAGGCGACATCTTCAAAATGCTTTCTTTCTGCCCAACAGTCCTAAAGCCAAATTTACAGTCAAATTACAGTGATGTAAAAACTGAGAAAGGTAAGCGATTCCTCACAAATGAGCAAATGTTTTGCAGTTTTACCTAATACATGACCAATCAATAAATCAAATGATGAGTACAGTGCTACTTATTCGATAGTAGCAATAATGTGAAAGTAAGAGACATTCACAGCAAAGAAGCCTTAAATACCTCAAAATCAAAAGTTAATCGTTTGGGTTTTTTGCTTGATCACAAAATCAAGTTTTTGAACATTTTTGAAAGGTCTCTTCTATAACAACAGAGCCACTGTCATGATACATTGGAGGGATGTTTACATTTTTTGCAATAATAGATGAATTATTGTTTTGTCGATCTAAAATCAGACCAGTGTGTGATGTGTGAAGTTAGTAGTCTTTAGAGCCGTGAGCTTAATGTATTCAATCACCTGTTCTTATGTGAATCAGTAGTCTCTTCTATTATTTCAGGTATGTTTTCTGTTCAACCTTCATGGTGCGATTTTAGCTATGACTTTAGATAAAGCTGCAAAAAAAAAAAAAAAAAAAAAGTAGAAGATGCCTGTTTTCTTGATTGCCAGACACTGTGTTTGCTCACATTATCAGTGCCATACAGTTAGGTGACCATTTCTGGTACTTAAATTAAATTTTATTGTATTAAACTTTTCAAACCAGTGGCAATGTTTGTTTCATACAGGAATCAGCACGTAGTTTGTCTAATTTCTCTGAATATTGTTACATGTGGTTTTATGGTCATTTAAAAAAAAAAACAATCCATGTTTAATGTCTTATCTATCTTTGTTATAATGCAGTAACCTCACCACCACTCTGACCTGTTAACAGTGGTTACAGTATCATTACCACATACTCCTGTGTTTCCTGGTTAATAATTTAAATAAATATATATGTTAAATAATTGTTTTTCCAAATCATTCAGCACTAAAGCCTCTGATTTCATTGCACTTAAGTTCAAATGCAACTCCCACCTCATTACTCATTGTGATTGGCATTTTGTTTTCATAAGCTTCAGAGTTTATGCTCAAGGCGTGACTCATACAAGTGTCTGTGCGCTACTCATATGATTGATCCGGCTGGAGTAACCTGCAAGGCAGTGAGCCACAAGTTGAAATCATTGAGGTCCTCACCGAGGTTTATGAATGGGTTGTTTTAGCTAAAGGGCTCACTCGGTGTTCACTGTACAAACGTGATTGTGTAACTTAAAGTTCATTGAAAGAAACTTCTCACTCTGCCTTTCGTATTCAAGCTGGAAAACATTTTCAGTGACGCTTATGGAGGCATCCAGTTTAAAAAAAAAAAATAAAAGTAACTGCCTGTTAAAAGTTTAAAGATGAAGTTGAAAAAAATGTGCCAACCTCTGATTGTTTTACACCAAAGTGTATTTAAAAATTGTCTGTTTGAAGGAATAGTTTGACATTTTGGGAAATACAATATATATTTACTATCTTGCTGTGAGTTGGATAAGAAGATCGGCATCGTTCTCATGTCTGCATGGTAAATATGACAGTACAACCAGCAGCTTAGCTTAGATTAGCAACTGGTTCTGTTAAAAAATTAAAAAAGAAAAATCCTCCTGCCTGCACCTTTAAAGCTCACTAATTAACATGTTATATTTCATATATTTATTACATAAAAACCAAAATGTGAAACTACGAATGTATAGTTTTACAGGGGGATTATGTGCTAGACAGCATTTGCCAGACAAACAGCTGACACTCCAGAAGGTCACGGCTCCATGCCAAGCAGAACACCCCATTAAACAACAAATTGTCAGTTTTACACTTAAATAACTACACTTTAACAAACAAGATACAATGTGGTAGATAATGAGCTGCAGAGGTGCTTGTAGGTGAATTTTGTTACAGCTGGATAGAGCCAGGCTAGCTGCTGCTGCTAGGCTGTTTTTGGCTAAGCTAACACTCTTGTGGATGTAGCATCATATCCCTTTAAGTTTGTAGAATTCAAAATTGAATGAATAATTTCATAATTTGTTGAAATTGCATGAGACAGAACATGACTTTAAAAATCTGTTCAGTGCTTTAGAAGGTGCAGTGAGAATAGCTAATGTGGCTGAAAATGACTTGTATGTTCTGTAGCATATACAGTGGGTACGGAAAGTATTCAGACCCCCTTAAATTTTTCACTCTTTGTTATATTGCAGCCATATGCTAAAATCATTTAAGTTCATTTTTTTCCTCATTAATGTACACACAGCACCCTATATTGACAGAAAAACACAGAATTTTTGACATTTTTGCAGATTTATTAAAAAAGAAAAACTGATATCACATGGTCATAAGTATTCAGACCCTTGGAGGTGAAATGCTTTGTTTGCTCTTGTCTAGTTATCATTTTCTAAGAAAACATTGAAGACATGAAGCAGGCCTGTTTGAATGTGTGTGATACAATAGTCAAACGGCTGTGTGGATGATCATTCAGCAGCGCTGTGTGAGTGTTGTCTGTTCTCTTGAGGAGAGAAGTGATGTTTTTCTGTGACCACCATTCACACTAGATTGGCTTTGTGTTGAGAGAAAGTACAACTGTCTGTAGCCCAACAGCTTAATCCAGAAACTAAATTGTGATTTTTCTTTTCAACAATTGTTTCTGCAGCTAAATATTAACTTCTTTTGAGCATGTACTTAATGTCTGCCTGTGTGTAAACATTTTGAACAACTTGTTGTACAGAGAGCATGATCCTTGTTAGCTCTAGAGACTTACAGGAAAGTGTAAATATATGCCTTAAATAGTAGCTGTTTTGTCTTGTGTTCATATGTCTGTCTTGTTTTATGGTTATTGAATTATTGTATCAAAAAGAGGAGCCTCACAAATAAAACAGAGCTTTTATTGTTTTTACTCTACTTGCCATCAATAATGTTAAGTCTGGACAGGGTTTGACTTAACTAAAGCGCTCAGTAATTTGTTTTGTTGTAACATACACAGGTAGAGAGACAATGACATAAAACTCATGCTGCAGTTTTGTTTGTAATATCAACCTTCAAAACAATACATTGTAGGCTACCTTAAGTAAGTGTGGGAGCTTAAATAACCTGAAGATATTAAAAATACACAACCATAAATAATGTCTGAAGGACATTTCCTCAAAGAGGGGAACTGCTGGTGTGAAGCATCATTAACATTATGAGGCTTTTTGGTGATGCCAAACTTTACTGGAATTGATGAGAGTGATGGGAGGACAGTAATTTAACTTAGTCATAACTATTCTAATGCATTTGTTTCAGCAGTGACCAGTTTGCCAAACCAAACTATGGCAGTTAAAATATTTTCTTTGGTCCTTTGAACTATGTAGCTTTCTTTGTAGTGCCAAATTTGCTGAGCTTCTGATGAACCAACCAAACCATTTTGTGAACACTGGTTTATTATTTAAGGTTTGTAGAGATTATAATACCAAGAAATTTAAACTCTTACTCATTTTTCCTGAAACAGGAAGTTGTGGCAGGGCTGCAAATTAGCAGGAAAACAAATTTAAGAGAATAAAAAATGTTTTGATGACTTCTGAATTGTAGATAAGAATGCTAAAATGTAAACTTCAGTCAGATAAAGACAAAGTCCACAATGGTGAATGAGTGGGCGACAAACCACAGTTTAGCACATATGAGTTTAGCGTGTTAGCATGCTAGCAGCTTGACAATAAGAACAAGAATTTACATGACCAAACAAAAGTGGTCCCAACAATAAAACACAAAATAAGAGAAGGAAAAGAATCTGGATGGTTATCTAAGACCTGCAGCTACATCCAATAAGAGCTCACCTGTCACTCTGTTTTCAGTCCAGAGCATTGAAAGATGAGGAGTGAAAACTGGCTACATGCCAATGTTCTGATCTGTCAAGGGTTCAGTGGGTGAGCAGGATTGGGTGAGGTCTGTGTTTGTGAGGAAGTGAGCTGCAAATGCTGACTGGCAAACTGCCACACTAGAGACATGTTTGCAATGGATCTAGGTTGTCTGTGCCCTGTAGTAGTCAGTGTGATTCACTCTCTGCTTCTGGATTTTCACCCCAGTGATCAGGATCATATTATGAGTAAATTCTCTGGTATGATGAGGGCCTCGGTGGCACCTCAGCCTCCCTCACCATTAAGGTAAATTAAGCTTTTTGACTTGGAAACTAAACTGTTTTGGAAAAAGGATGAATTCTTGACATTTAAACAGTTAACAGACATTTATTTTAAAAATCTGCAATAAAAAACAACATTTGCTTAATTGGGTAGACTAGCTCTGATAATTTTGATATCATCAATCGCACGATCTTGGCTGTTTGTCTCCACCATCCCAATACGATTCAGCACTCCCATCCCCTGGTATACTCTTCCAAAAATAGTGTGCTTTCCATCCAGCCACTGAGTGGGTCCGAGAGTGAGGAAGAACTGGCTTCCATTGGTGTCCGGTCCTGCATTGGCCATCGCCAAAATACCAGCACCTGTCCGACATACAAATTAAAGTCAAGTATCACATACATAAAGTCAAGTATCAATAACACTGTCAGTCCATTTTAGTCAGATTTCAAATCAAGAAACAACTAAGGCAAAACCACAACTAATTCACTGTTGTATAAGATCAGTATGCATCAACTTGAATGTGAAAGTATGTTCAAATTAGAATATTCACTCAGATTCCAGTTTAATAGGTACACCTTGCTAAAGCACTGACTTATCACAGTAGATCCTACCTTAATTTTTGTCTAAATAACATTTAAGACTGTCAGCTGTCAATCGAAGTGACACACATATTAATACACCACTGTATTACCTGTGAATTTCAGTTCTGGGTTCAGTTCATCTTCAAACTGTTTACCAAATATGGAGGCACCACCACGGCCTATTAGGAAAACAAAGATCACAGAAGTCCAGATTTATTATCAAGTGTGGCAAATGAACATGCAAAATATTAAGGCTGCAACTAACAGTTTTAAAGTCATGTTCTGTCTCATGCAATCTCAACAAATTATTAAATTATTCATTCTGTGTTGCTTGTAGACAAATTTCACATTTTGACCAACTGACCTGCTGACTAAAAAACTTAATAAGTTATGATAGAAATTAAAACAAATTAACAGGAAGTGAAGACCGAGTGATAATTTGTTCTATATTAAATTGATTTTTCCAAGAAACTTCGACAGAAATGATAAACTAACCTGTCCCTGTTGGGTCTCCTCCTTGCACCATGAAGTCTTTGATTATCCGGTGAAACTTGGTGCCGTTGTAATAGCCTCTTCGGGCCAGCTCTGCAAAGTTCTTACAGGTCTTTGGTGCATGGTTCCAGTACAGCTCCAGAGCAACAGTCCCCATCCTGCAATGCAAAATATTCAAGGTAAAACGAGATTTAATGTTACTTATGACTCAACCAATCATAACGTTACAAACAAAACCAGCATGGTGACAAAACACAAAACAAAATAACAAGAATTTGCAAACACGTGTTATCCATATCACAAGCACAAAATCCCCATAACATATTTTGGTATCGCCAAAGTAGTTAGCTAAACAGCTAACTGACTGCTCGTTACTGAGTGCTAGCCGAATTAGCATTTGGTGGTTTTAATAAAAACTTACGTCGTCTCCAAAACTACCGTGGGCGGCTGCCATGTGTCTGGAGGTATCCCTGACATTATCACTCCAAACAGTAGACGTCAGCAGTCTCTGAACAAGTGTTCTGAATAAATATAACGTGACTTATCAGGCGCTTTAGGCGTTAGCACATTCATTCACAACTACCTAGGGGGGCTACTTCTTCTATGGTTACCGCTTAATGGTAGAAGAAGTCAGCCACGATTGACTGCCCTCTGCTGGCATGATAGACATGTTTCCATCAGTATGACAGGAAGAGTAAAAATGTGTCTGATCTCACTTTTGAAGTCAAGAATTATTAATAATGACTGTATTTTGACAAAAGGTGGCCAGTTCATGCACAATCAGAAAATAGGAACGTGTGAGGATGCACAGAGCTATGATTAGTAAACAATAGGTGCTTGTGTAACAGGACAGCAACCAGAACTGTTTAAGAAAAACTGGAAGTAAAAGCCTCCAGCTAAAGACCACAATTTCAGTATGAGTCGTTGGAGTCATGCCATTTTTGGCATTCTTTCTTTAAAATAATTAAATGTCTAATGGATGATCAAAGTAGCCTGTACTTACAGATCAGTTTTGTTATTGACTACCTTGTAAACTGACAAGCCGTTTCAGTTGTAATGTAGGTCTATTTTAGATACGTCATCTAAAAAGAATATGTTAAGCCTAGGTTTGCTATTTAAAAGAGTAAAGTGAGTGACCATGTTTTTGTGGCGTAACTAGGCTTACACTCTGTAAAACTCAGCAAATCACTCTGTAAAATCTATACTGGCATCAAATTAAGATCAAAACTCAGTTTTACAGCATTAACAGGCAACGTCCCATAATGCAGCCATTGTATTTATCTAGTGTAGTTCACAATGAAGATTGTGGGATTGGCAACACGTGCGGAAGACATCGAGCCTGCCGGAAACTATAAGTAGAAGAAGACGTTTTTCTTCGTTGGTTCTCCATTTGCACCATATTTTCTCCAACGTGTACGTTTGCCGTTGACTTCAAGGTAAAGCCAATTTTATTTTTCCCGGTCATAACGGATATTCTCATCGATATATGTAGCGTTGATTTGTTTTTCTTTTGCGTGCAGTATCTTGATGGACGCTAGTCTTATCTATTTACGTTTAATGTTTCTTCTGAGTCCAGTTAGCTAGCATTAGCTCATGTTAGCCAGTCACGCACACCTGTTAATATGTATAATCTGAGTAAATGTTTAGGTTATTCATATATTTGCCTAATGTTTATATACTAGGACTTACTGTTTTGCTGCAGCAACACAAGTTTAACCTTGTTTTGACAGACGCAGCAATTTCTGCATCTTCGCTGCCAATAGACTAATTGGATGGAGTCAAATCCTTTTGGGATGGTAGCATGCATGTTAGCACTCTCAAGCTTGCAGCTAGGTCAGGATATTTTTGTGAATAGGCTCCAAGGAGGACAAGGGGATAAAGGTATGACAGGCATAGAAAAATAGAATACTTTATATAACCGAGTTTGTCTGTGTATTATTGTCTTGAGTGGGAGTTAACAGACTAAAGCGCATGTTTGTCCAGATAATCAGCATATAGTAGCAAATTTTTTTCTTATCCCAAGGTTCTGCACCATGTCCATTTTGAAGATCCACGCCCGAGAGATCTTTGATTCTCGTGGAAACCCCACTGTAGAGGTTGACCTTTGCACTGACAAAGGTAAGTCTGTGTAAATCTGGTGAAATGATGGATACTGAATGTGTGAATTATGTGAAAATTCACCATTTTAATGATTAATAGAAAAAATTAGGTACCACTAACAATGTAGATCATACCAGCTGTTACCTTGAATATATGGTGGTTTAATTGATTGGTATCGTGCTTAGACTCATTGTAAGTGATTCTCATGTCTTTTCTGATTCCATGTACATTTCTCAGGCTTGTTCAGGGCTGCTGTACCAAGTGGTGCTTCGACTGGAATCTACGAAGCCTTGGAGCTACGGGACAATGACAAGTCTCGCTACCTTGGGAAAGGTCTGTCCAACCTTTAGTTGCCCTTTGATAGTAAAGATTCGGTTAAATGCCCGTTATTTACGACCAAATGTAAATGAGTGTTATTGCTATTGCAATTTGAAACAGAATTCAGTTTAAAGGAAAGTGTTTTATGCTTTTCTCATTTTTGTTCCCTGCCCTCATTCTCTTTCCAGATTAGAAATGGTTAGTGAGTTTTTATTGTCCATCCTTTTTTTAATTGAAAGATTCGTGCACTTGACAGTACTGTACATAACTGATTAAATGCTTGTGGCAGTTGACCAGATAATGTGCATGGTGAGTTGTGCTGAAAACAATGAAGAGAAAACAAATGATAAAAAAAAGCTGCATGATAGTGTGCCAGTATTGTTGGTAACTGACCGGTTGCATGTGTTGCCAAATCTATGGCTTTGACAATAGCTTTGTACAATTTTCCCATAATGTTGTGAAACAACTCAAATCTTTTGTCATAGGAGTTTTGACGGCTGTAGAACACATCAATTCAACTATTGCACCTGCACTTGTTGGCAAAGTAAGAGCTTTTTCTTTTTTGTAGTAATGAAACATAGGTGATTTTCTTCAGTTATGTAATGTTAATTGCTAACATGTTCTTTCTCCTCAGGGTGCATCTGTGGTTGAGCAAGAGAAAATTGACCAGATGATGATTGACATGGATGGCACAGAGAACAAGTGTAAGACAGTATTACTGGTGTGATCTCTTACTTTATAAGTAGCTAGACATGTTGCTGATGAGGCCCTTTCTTGCAGCACTCTTTGTGCATTTCCAGGCATTTTTGCCTTTGGTCTGGTCTATGTATGTCATATCTTGGGCTGGAATTCAGAGGCAGGATATTGAATTACTTACAGCGACAGTATTTAGAGGAAGTGGCTAAAATTTCTACAGGGTCACAGTCAACTGGAAGTTGGAACTGAAGTCACATTTAACAATAATAGAATCAATAGAGCTCTATTCAACTTTGTTGTTTGCAAAGTGGAAAATTAAGTTCACTTATTTGTTTTCACATGTTAAATGGCTCAAAATGTGGTACATAACGCCACAAAAGCAGCTGATGAAATAAGCTACTGTATAGCCCTAGCCTTCTTTGAATAATGTGTGAATGCTGTCAGAATAACATGATGGCTGTTTTTTTCTGTTCTTCCCACTGACACAGCATCAGTGCACTGTTGCTCTGGCGCGTCATGATATTTGATATGTGTGGCTGTGTACAGGCTCAAGATTAATTAGATTTTTCTTTACTTCAAACAGCCAAATTTGGAGCAAATGCCATCCTGGGTGTGTCTCTGGCTGTTTGTAAGGCTGGTGCAGCAGAGAAAGGAGTCCCTCTGTATCGTCACATTGCTGACCTTGCAGGAAACAAACAGGTCATTTTGCCTGTGCCGGTGAGTCTTAATTTTTATTTATTTATTTATTTATTTTATGCCACAGGTAGCTCACTTCTTTCCCTGTCCATTCCCGTCAGGCTTTCAATGTGATCAATGGTGGCTCTCATGCGGGTAACAAGCTTGCCATGCAGGAGTTCATGATCCTGCCCACTGGTGCGAGCAGTTTCAAAGATGCCATGCGCATTGGCGCTGAGGTCTACCACAATCTTAAAAATGTCATCAAGAAGAAATATGGGCAGGATGCCACCAATGTGGGTGACGAAGGAGGCTTTGCTCCAAATATCCTGGAAAACCAGGAAGGTAAGCATCAGAGCTACTGATGTGTTAACTTTGTGTGAGAAGCGGTATTAAGTTTCCTTGCAAAATGCCCTTGCTCAGTGTGACAAATGCTTTTCTCACAAAGGTATGTGCTATAAAGTGACTGCAACCAAATCTGTATCTAGTGAAATTCACTCAACTCACTGGACTGAGGGAAAATTTGAGTAAAAAGACTCGGGTTCTTAATAAAATGAAGGCTGGCGTATTGATAAAATTGCTCATGTAGTTGTTCATAGTGACAAAGAACACCTGTATAATGCAACTAAAATACAACTTATTTTAGTTGAGGCTATAGTGTATGGCTCTGACTCAGTTTAAAGGTATGCCTGTGCATGTCCTCTCGAGCTGTAACTATTGAACAATGTTTCTAATAGTGGGTCCACAGGAGCAAACATTTGAGATGCTCTACCACAGGGGTGCCCAATACGTCGATCGCGATCGACCGGTTGATCGCAAAGGTAGTGTCGGTACATCGCGTGCCATTCAAAAATAAATTAGATGTATCCGGCGTAAAACACGTGCCAAATGTTGACATGCGAATGGTCAGTGTGACGATTCGCTGTGGCGACCCCTAATGGGAAAAGCAGAAAGTGACAATCATTCATATCATTTATATATAGCCTATCATCCATCCTCCCTATGGCTTTTGCTACTTGATTGACATGCAGATCAGCCAGTCTGAGATCTTGTCTTTTCTGACACACGAGTCACCAAGCATGCACAGTCAACCGCACGAGCTACTGCAAAACTCCAGTGAGCGAACTACCTTGTCAGCCTTCGAAATAATTTCTACTAAAGGGTATAAAAAGAGGGGGGAGCAGAATAAAGTAAGAAATCAAACGTACCAAAAACATTCCATGCGGAATGGGAGGAGGACTTTTTTTTTCTCGCGACGTTATATTTGAAATGCATTTGCTTGATCTACCAATCTACCATCACTATTCCGAAGAAGGGAAATGTGGAGCGGCACTTTCAGACTGTTCATAAAAACTGACACTCATTCATACATATATTTTGTGTGTGTGCGCGCGCATGTCCATCATTTTGACTTGGTCGTTTGAAAAGTAGCTCGCAAGGCGAAAAAGTGGGGGCACCCCTGCTCTACCATATAATGCAGTTAAAGGCACCACAAGAGCCTCCCATAGTACAGTAAGGTTAAATCTACACACAAAGGTACTGTGATCTGCATTGCAGTGTGCAGGGTTGTCTGTTTTTCTGATTTCTCATTGTAGACTTGTGGCACTCCAAACAAGTTGTAATGTGCTAAATAACTCTGAAATTTGTTTGTATCTGTCTGGCTCTGCAGCTTTGGAGTTGCTAAAGGAGGCCATTGCCAAAGCAGGATACACCAATAAGATTGTGATTGGCATGGATGTGGCAGCATCTGAATTTTACAGGGAGGGAAAATACGATTTGGACTTCAAGTCTCCTGACGACCCACGCCGTTACATCACTCCTGACGAACTGGCTGATCTCTACAAGAGCTTCATGAAGGGTTATCCAGGTAGCCCTCTGACACTCTCTGCACATTACTTAGCATGAGTAGAACATGGACACAATATAGTAATCTTTTTAGAAGGTTAATGAAGGGGCGGTATCATTTGGTCTGATACTTTTCCTGTCTTTCATCCATTTGTCCTCTGACTAGGTGAATTGATTGTGCTACCTCACAAGCACATCTTTCAGTATTCACTCCCCCCAGAAATTCATCTAAGTAATGAGAAGTACATGGTATTGTGAGCTGTAGCCCAAGTTTTAAATGGTTTGTTATACACATGATTTTATTGAACCTGCATTTGTATACATGGTTTAATACCACAGTGATCTGTACCTCATGTACAGAAGCATAGTTGCACCCAGGCATTTCTTATACTACTGGATAATGGGTGCAAGTAAAATTTTCACTGCTAAACTTGACTCATAGCATCACTTTTTTTTTAAAGGGTGAGTGCACTTAACCACTAAGGTCTGAAAGTTTTCACAAAAGTAACATGTAGTCATACAGATTAGAAACGAAGGGTAGATGTCAGATGTAATGAAAATTAGTTATTACTGTCTCTCCACCAAACACCCAGTTAATTTAAATCATTGGTTTAACTTTGAGCTACTGTACTTGCAAAGGTCCACAGCCCAGAAACAACTTGGGAGGTTGCTGATCTAGGACAAGCCTTAATCATGAGACTAATAAAATATTCATTACTGATTTGCTTAAAGTTTCTTCAATATTTTGATTTAAAAGCGTTTTCAACTCTGAAGCACAACTAATGTGATCAAAATGCTGTGCAAGCCTTACGGACCATTAATTTGTCTGCTGAGGAACAACTCCAATTTTTCTCTTTCTCAGTGGTTTCCATTGAGGATCCCTTTGACCAGGATGACTGGGCAGCCTGGGCTAGCTTCACTAGAAGCACAGACATCCAGATTGTTGGAGATGATCTGACGGTGACCAACCCTAATCGCATCAGCAAGGCTGTGGAGGAGAAGGCCTGCAACTGTCTGCTGCTGAAAGTCAATCAGATTGGCACAGTAACTGAATCTATAAAAGCGTAAGTCAGCATGTTAAATTTACAGTAATGGTCTGTAGGTCAATTGGATATTGGAGGAAATGCCTCATGATGACCTAGCGTGGTGTTGCGGTAATGGGTTTTCTTCCAGCTGCTGTAAACTGTCAACCAGGCAGCTCTTAGTAGGTGGGATTAAGAAAATGGCACAAAAGCCAGAATGTGACAAAACCTCTCCTACATAAAAGAAACCTGACATGTCAGTGAAATGGCAGTTCAATCTGATTAGCAGGAATTTACGTTATTGTCCGAGTTACTGAAGCCTCATTTCTCATCACAGATGCAAGAAGGCGCAGGAGAACGGCTGGGGTGTGATGGTCAGCCATCGCTCTGGTGAAACTGAGGACGCTTTCATAGCAGACTTGGTAGTTGGTCTGTGCAGTGGACAGGTAAGTTCAGATAACATGTTTTTGGTGTATGTCTTTTGAGAATGTAACAGTTATACTATGCAATTAATCCTACCTCTTTGAAGGTGATAATGATGAATCGGCACTATGGTTATGAAGGTTTCAGTTTGGAGCTGTTGAATTTATTAACCTGCCTTTAAAATTTATTCCAGGGCTGATTTGTGCTTAGCTAAATTTATCTAGTAAAATGGCAACTGTGTATTAACTCTTAATACAAGTCTGAATAAAAACCTAACTGCACAAATGCAATATTGGGTGTAGTAATTGACAAAGATGAATGCAGAGAATGGAATAGCTTTGCTTTAAATCACTGTATGCAATCCATCAGATCAAGACTGGGGCCCCATGTCGCTCTGAGCGTTTGGCCAAATACAACCAGATTCTTAGGTGAGTCTCATTCTTGTATAAACTGAGAATTTCATCTCCCTCATCTCATTTTAAAACCATAAAATGCAACCTTGCATGCAGTGTAGGGATGCACCAATACCCCACCCTCTTGTACTCATAAAAGCTGTCTGATACTAAACAGCAGCATTACGTTTAACCTCAGTCTGGCTGAAACGGTTCTTGGACAGTGGAGAACAAATTTGTGGTTTATGGATGCCACAGACGGGCACCAGTTTGAAGTAAGAACATGTACCCCTGTTAAATAAACTGCTGCCTGTGATATATTTGCCCTGATAGGACTGCACTCCTACAAAGGTTAAGAATCACTGTGTTACATTAGGTTCTGTAGTAGGCTACAGACCTTCAGTTCTCATAATCGAGAGGAATGGTGGCAGTTCTGATTTTTCAGTTTAAATTTGCACATCCTCGTGTTTAATTTTAATCAGAAGGTAAATCATGAAAACTAGTTTTATGGTAATTTTGTAGGAGAAACACTTTTTACCGGCGGAGCGGGGGATGCTGTTTCAAACCCCTTTTAAATTAACAGATCGGTACTTTGATTAACAGAATTTGGGACTATAAATGGGATAATGGACTAGCTGCTAGAATAAAAACAAACAGGCAGAGACTCTACCATAAGTACTGCTAAGTCTGTATCGGCAAGTACTTTCTGGAAAAAAAAAGTGGTATGGGTGCATCCCTAGTGTAGTGGTGTTTATATTGTCAAATAAAATGCCTGCAGTACCTTTCTGCTAAACTACTTGTTTACTATAGTTTGTTTGGGTTGGTGCATTAACATTTCCAAATCTTTAAACAATTGTCTATACTATGAACTTGACTATTGTCAGAGTTGGGGCTTTAACAACCTGTTTAAAAACTGTTCTCTAATGTAGGATTGAAGAGGAACTGGGAGACCAGGCTCGTTTTGCTGGAAAAAACTTCAGGAAACCACTGCAGTAAATGGTTGAAGCCCTTCCTTCACAGAGATGCACAATAACACAAAATGGTTAATGTAGAAGTACTTGCATACTGTGGTGATGAATTTGTAGAACATGACTATTTGCTGGAATTGACACTTTACAATCAAATCTACTCTGTTCTGATTTTTAATGTGGAGTAAAATTAGAACTGCAAAATGGAGTAACTTACTGTAATGACAATAGATGCACTTGTCTAATCAATAAAAAAAATCTCAATGTTGTGGGGTTTTTTTCCATGAACTTTTGCAGTATGGGGTGAGGTACTTGCATGTAATGCATTTAATTTTTTCTTTATAGCTTGCAAATGTTTCATCTTTTTTCGGTACTGACTAATCAGGGTGTAAAGCTGACATATTGCAATCGAGTTTTTTTGTTTTGTTTGGGTTTTGTTTTTTTTTACAGCATTTCTATTGGTGTTAGAAATACTAACACCATTACAGGCAGTGGTGGGTGAGTGTTGGCTTGCATAATGTTGCTGAACCACAGCAGTACACCGTATATGTTATGCTTAATGGACGCCTGCGCAGCAGCGGATGAGCAACCTCGGCACATGCTCAGTTATACACACCCAGACAACTGAAGGCTGCGCTGTGGCTGCTGAGGTCATTGCACTAGGGAAGGGAAAAACGGACTCCCTCCACTACACCGCCTCCATCTTGAATAGCCATGTAATAGGGGATTCGCATAGTTTGTATATCGGGGCGCTGCGTAGTGTCAACAAGCCACATCTAAACAGCTTTCGACATGGACGACCTGTTCAGCCCGCGGAGGTAATTTGAGTAATATGCGGTTTGCGTTTACCTATAGCTGGTATGTATCAAGTGGGGTTTTTCCCCGTCGGTACTTTGAGCGCCGTTTGTACGAAACAGTCGGAGTGTCAGTGGTCACGAAGTTGTTCTGGCTAACGAGCTAGCCAAATAACATAATGTTACTGTCTCTTTAGCAGCTAGCACCTCCTGTCGAAAAACTGTTTTCTGCTCGTTTTAACGGAGCTAGTAGCCATTTCTGCAGCAGTTTATTTTTTTTAAACAATGTCAATAACGCAGATTGACCGTATGCATCGTTAAAAAGTCAGCTGTTAAATTCCCTTCGGGATTTATGCGTATTTACATGGGTGGTGTATGTAACGTTATGCCAACGACATGTGCAGACTAGCATTTATTTGCATACTTTGGCAAAAAATTAGCTGCTTGACGCGTTCATCCAGCTCGCACTGTCAACTTGTTAGATCTCCAAAGTAGCGCACACTGTTCTCGTAATGGTGGTGACCGTAGAAAGGAGCAGCTCGTTTATGTTGATGGGTTGTTGCGTCGGATTTCAATCGTGTAATGTAAGGAGACATCGCAGGTCACAGCTGAGATTGGTTCAGTGATTTGTGGGAGGGAAGCTGCTCTGAAGGCAGCCAGGGTTGCACACAGATGAGACGTCCGGGCGTGTAGGCTGCTGCTCGGCGTCAATTACGAAGTAATTGACAGGTAGTGTAGACGAGGCCGTCTTTAACTGTGTGAGCATAGTGGACACACTGATACTAGCAATGAACTGTTTGGTTGTTTTCAGGAGTCTGAACAACACACAGGGTGAGATCAGAGTGGGGCCAAGTCATCAGGTAAACCTCGCTAAATATTTCATACTGGATTTTGAAGTTTGTATATCCAAAAGTCGAATTATTTCTACTGTATTTGGCTAAAGAAATGTTTTGAAAACCTCAATGTTTAGTCACTAACTGAAATATGTGCAATCCTACCTGCTTTTCACAGGTTTTCTCTTTAGTGTCTTCATGGTTTAAGTTCATAATGATGCTGATCACACCTGTCTGCTCAGTGTAGGGCTGCAACTAATTATACAATATGTACTGGTATCACTTCCTAGAGCTGAAGTTAACACCTTGTCTGACCTACAGGCCAAAACCAGAAGATGTTCAGTTTGACAAAGAACACAATTCTCACATTGGAAAAACTAAACCCAGAAAATATTTGCCTTTTTTGTATTGAAAAGATTATTATAAAGTTATCAAAACTGCACATTTTTTGCTGATCAACCCTTTCAGATTTGAGAACCTATTTCAATATTTATGGGAAAGAGACTGCTGCATTATCAAACACCAGAATCTGTTTGAATATTGTCCTTTATCCATTAAATACCTTGTCAGACATTGTAATACATTATTTTTTAAAAGTTGCCAGCTAAATAACATTTGAAATTGAAGCAGCTGTTTTTCCTTTTCTTCTAGAGCTCTTGAAAATGTAATAAAAATTAAGCACTTGGATTTTTTTAATATAAATGTTAGCAGAGTGTACAGTTGATGTTTTCTAAAGATGTCTGTCTCGTCTCTTTCTGCAGGCCAAGCTTCCAGAGTTGCAGCCGCGGCCTGCTCCTAATTTACAGACGCAGACAGAGGGTGAGGAGCTGATGTGGACGCCTGGGGTCAACGACTGTGACCTCCTCATGTACCTCAGGGCTGCAAGGTCAGTGTCTGCTTTCTATACTTGATTAGTGGTACTTGGATAAATGTTGTCAGTCTTGAGCATGTGTAAAGGCTAGTGCCTTTGCAATAGAGGGCCAAAATATCTTTTTTTTTAATTGTTACCTTAATCTAATTTTATAATAATCTCTGATAAATTACCTGCAGATTTATCCTTACCAGAAAAAAACAAGATGCAGCTGCTATTTAATACCTTTAACTAAAAAATTCCATTTATTATGTAAGTTTTTGTCATTGCCATCCTTTAACTAAAGAAATATATTGTTGCTGCAAGCAAATACTATTTCACTATAAGACAATCCAATGCTTATAATAGATTAGGTGGTCCTTTATTGTTCTAACAAATTAACACAAAAAAATAAACAGGATTACTAGCTTTTTAACACAGTAGTCAGAAAAGTGTCACAAATGGGGAAGTAAATGCAAAACCGAACCATTTGTCGTTGGCCCATGTGAATGCCAGTGTGTTCCGCTCTCAGCTAGAAGCAAAACATTTAAATGTGTGAATGTAATTTAAGTCTTTTTGTTTCCAGATGGATGAGTGGTGATTTGATGTTTGTTCAAGGCTTCAGCACATTTTTCCACTGGCGGCATTTGTGTTCATTAAAAAATGTAGAATAGATTTCTCCAATGAGAAGTGTTGTGTCTGCAACAATTTCATTGCCTTCTTACCTGATTTCTTGGGCGTTATGTTGGCGAGAAAGCTGGTCTAACTGGGGCAAGGGACAAAGAGAAATGTGCTCAAGTTTTCTGCTGGAATCAGATTGAGCATTAAACAAACAAAAAAAAAATTTGCACTTGCCTGTTGTGTTAAATTCTCAAGGAGCATGGCAGCGTTTGCAGGGATGTGCGATGGTGGATCCACAGAGGATGGTTGTTTAGCAGCCTCCCGAGATGATACCACACTCAACGCTCTCAACATGGTGTGAATTTATAATCACCATTTTCCATTAAATTCCACAACAATATTTTATTGCATATTTACAAACTGTTTGTTTTTTTTACTCAATTACTAGCTCCATGCAAGTCATTATGATGCAGCGAAAGCTCTCCAGCGTCTGGTTAAGAAGCCTCTGCCAAAGCTCATTGAGAAATGCTGGTCAGAGGATGATGTGGTGAGACGTCTTGTGCCAGCAATAGAACGTCAGTGCTGATGTTTAGTTAGTCCTTAGCCAGATCAAATTATTGGTTATTAAACTGATACAAAGCTTTTCATGTATTTTAAATATACCTAACATGTTTAACAGTGCAGGGAGTTTAAAGTAAAAAGATGACATTTTTGATCACCTTCAATAACTGCTGTTAAAGCAGCAATGATACAAGCCTGCTGTAAAAGTGTTTTTAACCACTATCTTAAATAGCTGATCACTTTAATATGTCTATTGTAGTAATCACATCAGACATGTTTTATGAAGATTAACATTATCATTACTGGAGGCTTTTGTTTCAATGTGTAATATTTTACTATACCCACCTGTCTTTCTGTTTTCTCTATAGAAACGTTTCATCAAAGGCCTGAGACAATATGGAAAGAATTTCTTCCGCATCCGGAAAGACTTTCTGCCCAGCAAAAAGACTGTAATTCAACCTTTATTGCATACAGAACAATTTGTAATATGTGCAGTGACTCATATGAATATTGCCATATTCTTGATCGGAAACTTTTGTTGTTGTTTTTTTTTTTCCATCAGGGAGAGCTGATCACTTTCTATTACCACTGGAAGAAGACTCCTGATGCTGCAGGAACACGAGCGTGTCGACAACAACGCCGACAGCCGTCCTCCCGTAAGGCAAAGACCCATTCTGCTGCAGTTCCTGTCAGCACCCCATCACGAAATTATTCAGGTGACCACTTCATATTCCTCGGAAATCACTGCTGTTTATTTTTCCCCTCCATGGTTGTGCGGTGTGTGACATTGACATGAGTTGGACTTTTCTCCTGATCTTATGTTTTGCAGTGGATGTGAGTTCTGCCAGCGAGGATGATCTTGATAGTGAAGACAGTGAGCAGGAAACCAAGAGCTGCAGCCACTGTGGTACAACAAGTGAGTATAAATCTGTTTTAGATTTTTCTGATAGGGCAAAGGGTTATATTTTATATGTTGCTAATACTTTGTTTTCACAAACTTAAGTGTAAAGAAAATGCTTGGGATAGGATGTGCAAAAGTGCTTGACGGTTCTTTAAACAGTTTGTGAAACTGGCATTTTTCCCCAACAGATTCTAAGGATTGGCACCAAGGAGGAAGAGACAACGCTTTACTGTGCACGACTTGTCGCACATATGAAAACAAACACAGATGTCTGCCGATAGCTGCAAAATCTGCAGGCACGGCATTCATGTTTAAATCTGTGAAAGGGGAGGAAGAGGTGAACAGCAAGCATGGCATGAGGACCCGGCGCAGCAGGGCACCTGTAAGCCTGAGGCTGGCAGATCAGTCACACAATCATCTCTACACAACATATCAATATATACAAGGAATCAGATTTCAGAATGCTGTTTCATGTGTTTGCTGGGAAAATATCTTGTACATTCTGGGAAACATCTTTTTTGCTTGCATTTTAACGATGTCAACTTGTGACTACTTTTTAAAGCAGCTGTCGTCATTAAGAAGTGGCCACAGGAGGCTCACAGGCTCCCCCACCAGTGAGGACCAGAGGTTCAGTAACCAGCCCTCTCCTAGTGGAGTGACTTTGAACTCTCTGAGATCATCTTCCACTGACAACAAGAATGAGTCCAAAAAGAGGACAAACAAGGTAAACATAATCTACACATTTTGTATACTGTGTATATATGCACCTGTTAGGATGTTACTGACCCTGTGTGACCTGGTAAAGTGCCTGTTTGGCAGCACTTGCTTGCATAGTGGGAAAGAAGGTGCTACAAATGAAGAGGCTGACAGTGTGGCTGCTTTTCGATTATGTTGCGGTTGGAAGTGAGCTGATGTCAGCAGCCTCATAGCAACCTGGCAAATACTTAAGTACAGGATATACAGTCCTGTATGTATACAGATTCCTGGTTGCTTTGCAGTCATGCATTCACTCTTATGAAACAGTATTTTATTAACAGTGAACAGGATTTTTTTTTTATTCTAATTTTGGGCTGTCAGCAGATTTTCATCCAGTACAGTTGCAGATGTATTTTTATGGTGTTGTAGATGTCGAGAAGAGGCATTTAAATTCAGATTTAAAAAATTATCTCCACTGCAAAGCCATGGAGATTTGTCTTTGCAGTTCACTGGACAGTAACTGTTGGGGAGTTCTTCAAGAAATTGAAGTAATGAAATGTAGTTTGTCCCAGCTTTACATGTAAATGAAGTTATATTTGTTTGTGTAGTTGTTCCTTTATGATGCACGTTAATATGGTTTCAGTGTCAGTCATCTTCTGTCAACAATTAACACCACAGTGTTACAAAATATTTTGCTGTGTCCGCAGAAGATAAAAGAGGAGGTAACGTCACCAAAGACGACAAAACGTGCAAGGGAGAGTCCTGCTCAGGAGCCTGATGAGCCTGAAAAAGTTGCACCCAAAAGGCCAAAGACGCAGGTGAGAGGGAATGTCACTTAATGTCAAATGCCACTTAATAAAACACGTACTACTCTACAGTCTTAAAATTCAGGAATGGGTTTCAAAGCATTGTGATATAATTCCATTTCGGAAGCTCATTCTGAATAATCTGAGCACAGAACAGTATCTAACAATATGTTGGTATGCATGAATTGGGCACAGCATGATCCTGGTTTATTTGCTCTACCAGGATCCACAGGGCTCCCGGTCAGACGCAGAGGAGGAGAGCTCTTCAGAAAGCCGCAGTGCTCAGGATGATGGCAGCAGTGACACCAAAGATATTGATCAAGACAACCGCAGCTCCTCGCCCAGCATTCCCAGCCCCCAGCGGGGCAACGAAAGCGACTCAGACTCATCTGCCCAGCCGAACGGCGTCCCACCAGACCCCGCTGCCCCTGCTGCTATACTGGCTGACACACCAGTCCTGCAGATTGTCCCTTTTCAGGGTCCTCCCATCGCTCCACAGTCACCACAAAGCATCCCCTCTACTGATCCTGCTCAGAGTCCCCCTCCTCCTTCCCCAGACCCCCCACAGCCAGCTGCTGGTCAGTCACCTGCCACAGTGGGTCCAAACAGCCGACCACAGCCCGCCTCTCACTCTCTTTCTGGTCCACCTCCTCTACCATTGGGTCAGAACTCTCTTTCTCCGACTTTTCAGGTCCCCCCTGCTCTCAGCTCTGCGCAGCCTGGACAGTCACATGGCCTGTCGCCTCAGGCCCCCCAGCGACCCCCACCCTTCTTTAGGGAGTCACAGCTCCCCCAGCCTCCTCTTTCTGGCTCCCAAATCAAGCCTCCTCCCACCACCCCAATTCCACCTTCACACAAGCAGCTACCACACCAGTCCTCTACACCTTTCCCCCAAATGCCCTCCAATCTGCCCCCTCCCCCTGCTCTAAAGCCCCTCAATTCTCTGCCCAACCAGCATCCTCCTGGTGCCCCACCTCCCCCTCTTCAGCTCATGTCACAGCCTTTGCCAATGCAGTCACTTCCAACCCAACTCCCAGTGATCTCTCAGGTGCAAACCCACCTTGTGAAGAGCACTACGACTTCTCAACCAGCTGCTGCAGCCTCACATCCTCTCACCTCTTTAACATCCTCTGCTATTGGGCCTGTCCCGAGCCTGCAGCCTTCCTTCCCACCTCTTCCTCTGAGACCCGCGGCAAACAGCACAGCAGGGGGATCGCATGTTCAGATTAAAGAAGAGCCACTGGATGAGATGGAAGAGGCAGAGAGCCCACCGTCTCCACCTCGGAGCCCCTCGCCAGAGCCCACCGTTGTTAACATGGCAAGCCACGCCAGCCAGTCTGCACGGTATGCTTGAAGACATTCTGTAGAAAGTGCCCTTTAAAAAAATTGACCATCTTTTGTACTGCTATGAGAGCACATATACCACATTACTCACAATACAGCAATCAGCCTGAGTGGCCTGAAAACCAAACATTATTTAAACAAATAACTCATTTTACCCCAGTTATCTACAGTAAGGCACTCAATTGGAGGTGAAACCCAGAGTGAACTAATCAGAAATGTCCGTTATAGTCGTCAGTTGAGTTGTAAAGCGGCTTGTGTGCATAACTTAAGGTCTAAGCTGAACCAGGAAAGAGCTCTGAAAGCTCACATGAATGTTTTCAGCAGCTTGTTTGGGCCATAACTTTAACATTCACTTTAGTTTTCATTTTCAAATAGCTGATTTATATAACATGGTTAAATCTCTGCGATTGGTGCCTGAAATGTCATTATAACTGACATGGATTATTCCCAAAACTGCAAATATAACATGACACCTTCTCAGCCTGTTGCAACTTTGTGTAAATTAAGTTTGGCAAATGCACACCTGTTATTTCTTTCAGGTTTATCAAACACTTGGATCGTGGTTACAACTCCTGTGCTAGAACCGACTTGTTCTTCACTCCCCTTTCTTCCTCTAAACTGGCCAAGAAAAGGGAGGAGGCTGTGGAAAAGTCGAGGAAAGAGGCTGAGCTCAGTGCTCGACAAGAACGTGAAAGGGAGAAGGAACGAGAACGGGAGGCAGACAGAAACGCTGTGAGTGAAACACTCCTACATTGTTTTTTCAAACATCATCTCTGTTGCACAAACCAGGTAAGTGTCATCTCACACACTGTCTTTACTTATAGAGAGCCTCCAGCTCTTCCCATGACAGTCGTATGAGTGAGGCCCAGATGGTAGCTCAGGGCCACGGACGTCCCTCCTTTGATCAGCCGCCCACCAGTGTAGTTGCTGTGCCCCCCTACATTGGCCCTGATACACCTGCTCTGCGCACCCTGAGTGAATACGCTCGACCACATGTCATGTCCCCCACCAACCGCAACCATCCTTTCTATGTGTCCCTGAGCCCCGGCGACCCCTTGCTGGCCTACCATATGCCCGGCCTGTACAGTGCTGAACCCAGCCTGAGAGAGCGTGAGCTGAGGAGCCTCAGAGAGAGAGAACTCCGTGAGCGGATGAAGCCTGGCTTTGAGGTCAAGCCTCCAGACCTGGAAACCTTACACCCTTCGGCCAACCCCATGGAGCACTTTGCCAGACATGGCGCACTGGGTTTTCCTCACATTCCCGGGCCTCCCCACCCCTTTGCACCTTTCCATCCCGGGCTGAACCATCTGGAGCGGGAGAGGATGGTGCTGGCAGGACCTCAGCTGCGCCCAGAGCTGAGTTACGCAGAGCGGCTCACTGCAGAGCGGCTTCATGCGGAGAGGATGGCCTCTGTGGCGAATGACCCCGCTGCTAGGCTGCAGATGCTCAATGTGACACCGCATCATCACCAGCACTCTCACATTCACTCTCACCTCCATCTGCACCAGCAGGACCCCCTCGGTCAAGGTGAGGTTGGATTGTTGATTCTGTGGATTTCGGGAAGCTAATTAGGCAACAGAAAACCGTCTGGAGGTGGACAGGTAACCTCTGTTTACTGTACCTCGTATTTCTACCTACAGGTTCAGGCCCTCATCCTCTAGTGGACCCTCTGGCAACAGGACCACGTTTGGCCCGAATCCCCTTCCCTGCTGGCCCGATCCCCAACCCTTTACTCAGCGATCTTCCTCATGATCATGAGATGCTGCACCACCCGTTGTTTGGTTTGTAGTCTTAACAGTTTTACGGCCTGCAAACTGAGTCTTGTCATAATGCAGCTTTTCTAGTTTCTTCTTATGTTTTTGCTTTCCAAAGGAGCTGCATATCCACGAGAGCTGCCAGGCCCAATTCCTCCAATGTCTGCTGCTCACCAGCTCCAAGCCATGCATGCTCAGTCTGCAGAGCTGCAGAGGATGGCAATGGAGCAACAGTGGCTGCATGGGCATCACCTGCATGGAGGCCCTCTGCCAAGTCAGGAAGATTATTACAGGTGAGGTCTTTGAATGCTGGAAGAGCTTGCAAACATTTAAGTAATAATTCAGTAGCATATTGGCCTGAATATATGACAACCCATATGCGTAACAGCCTTTTGGACAAAGAGTCTTTGAAGCCTTTTAGTTTTTGGTTGTTTTTTTTTTACATAAAATACATTAAAGCATCACATAGGAGCCAGTATTATGAAGGTACTCTGCATTCAAAAAAAATCTAATTTCATGAATCTAGTTTGCGGTGAGAATGCAGAACCCCCGTTTTCTAATGTAATATAAGGAAAAATAAAATGGTACATTGGGTAATAAATATTCTTGGCTCAGATTCTCTGCCTCAAAGCAGTTTGATCAGGGAACAGGGTGTGGTCAAGTCACTGTTGTGCCAAGAGCTGACTGCATGAATTGAAAATAAATATTAGGAATGAATAAAATAATGCTATAAAAGAAATGAAGAAACTTAATTTCTCTCATTTACCCGTGTTTAAAAACATGCTGTTACATTAATGGTAAATATGCTGCTTATAGGGGCAATTCGTTAATATTTCCTGAGCATTTTTTGTTATTGTACAGTTGCTTCACATAGTTTTACTGCACCCTGCAGCCAAATTGGGTGACATTTAGTTGTATTCATGTAACCTGCATGACAAGCCAACTCACGTTTGTTTCTGTCTTCTGAAGCCGTATGAAGAAAGAAGGTGACAAGCCGTCGTGAGTGCCAGGTGGTGCATTTTATGAAACCCTACACTTATATCTAATAGAGTACAGTGTAATTTTGAGACCATAAGAGAATATGTCGGTTTTTTGTTTTAACATATTTTAGAAAAGACTATGTGAATCTTTACGTGCATTCCTTGTTCAGCACTTAACGGGACAGTCCATAGCTCGTCTGAGATCTCATCACTTAAGACATCATACTAGATTTATTATCAAAATAATGAACAATCTCCCGTTCATGGGACATGAAAAACAAAAAAGGATATTCTCTAACAAACTGTCAAACAGTTTCTTATGCAGTGATATAAATGCTCTAATAAGAGATATGAACACAGACTGGCTTTGGTGTTGGGTTTAAATATCCCTATATTGATTTCTAAATGATTTCCTTGTACAGAATTTAAATTGATGTCCAAATGATTGTAACAATCTAGCATGTTTTAGTTTTCAGCAAACTAGAGTAGCAAGCTGCATTGTGGTGTTTAGACTCCGAAAGTACAGTAGAGGTTGTTTTACTTATAAATCTACTAAGTATTTGTCTAAATCCTAAAGTTTTATATATCAAAATATCTTTTCACAATATAACCGAAGCTTTTATTCGCTCATTTTGTGATTGTAAATATTACATGTTCACAGTATTCTATGAATGAATAATAATAATAATAATAATATAGCAGTAGACGTGGACACTCGACCCTTAATTCAGTACGATAGCAGTAAATCATAAGCTATAAACATTATATAGTATTGTACTGTGAGGTGATTATTAATTGGACTATGATCTGTCACTACAGACAGTTAATTTAGAACAGTGTATTTGAATAATTTTGATAATTCAATTGGAGAGAAACAATCTTTGGCAGTTTATTGGATCTTTAAAAAGAACTACCACTAAATTCAATATTTATGTGATATAATATGAATGTGTATCCACTGTATATTTATTTCAATAAATATTTCTGCAGTGACACCTTTTTTTTGCACTTGGCGTTCTTCTGTGTGGGTATAAACAAGGCAAGTGGTATAAACTGTAGAAAAGTAACTGCATAGATCAGCTTAGACTGAGAGGACAGTTGCATATTCATTGTTTTATTGCACAAAATCCGTAATACATTGAAAATTGTATGTACCCCGTTTTGTTTGACAAGGAATATGAAGTGTTCTGATGAAACTAATTTAGTTTACACAAGTGTTTAAACAGTGTTACTGACAACAACAGATCACTTAGAGGGAATATCTGACACAGCAGTACTTACAAAGATGTGTTCAGTCAAAGCCACTAATGAGAAAATCTTTTGGCGTGAATTTGTAGCAGTTTGGTTTTACATTCACTGCTGTTTCAGACCAGGTTTTCAAAACTCACAACTTAAATAATCAACTGTAACCTTTTCTCCAGTATACATACAAACCTGACCAATACTGTATTCACAACTTGACTTTGTCAGACTTTTATCATTTCCATCCTCCACAGACACTTTGCATGAGTACATCAAAAACTTGTAAGTGCTATTACAGTTTAGCTTGATTGTAGCTCTATAACCTACAGATCCGTGTTTGAGGCAAAACAGTACATTAACAAAATGGTACCTGTTTAAAGGTACAAGTTTCTATACTTGCATTATGGTCCATGTATCAGTGTCAGTTTACCAGACCTGACAAAAGTTTTTACAAGTTTAAAACGCAGATGAAATGTTTTTGCTTTTGCTGAAGAGGCAAACTAGTTTCAGGCTGCAAATGACTTAAAATAAGACTGTTGACATTCAGTATTTCCTCTTGTTTATCCTATGAAAATGTCAAAATCAACAGCATCTTGATCCTTTTGTCTGTGTTGCCAAAGCCTGATTTAGCTTATTTCTCTGTGTAATAAACCTCTGTCATTGAAACGCTGTTAAAAAAAACATAAGTGAGACACGCTATTGCACTGGCTGACATTTTCCATTAGCAGGAACAGGGTCACTGCCATTTATTTTAGGTCAGACCTATACACAGTCCTGCTGCTAGCAGTACTCACTAGTGCACCTTCTGTGTTGGTGAAAATAGTCATTAGGGGGCCAGAACAAATTGAGAGTAATGAATTTTTGGTTTCAGTATTAGAGGCTTTGTTGAAAATGTAAAGTGTCACCAGCTTTATCCTGTGAAACAGCAACTTGCTAACTTCTACCATAACATGCTGTTTTGTAACTTTAGAAATCAATGCATACATGGATGGACCCAGGTGAAAATGTTTGGAAATGACATTTCTTGTGACACCATGAAGTATCAGCGATTGTCCAGAGGAGGTGGATTCTTCACATACTGCTGCAGGTACTGGATCGCCGACAGTGCGCTCACATTTGCTAGCAGAGCTGAACAGGATTGCAGTAGAGGTTAGTATGTAGAATGGGATGTTGTCAAGCCATACAGTATTCTTCATGTTTAGTGCTTAAAGCCTCTGAAATATCCAATGTCTTCACTAAATAAGCAACAGTTACAATTTTAATTTAACAATTTTCCACGAAAAACTACTGCAGTCAAGCCCCTGTGAATATTTATACTGATTTGTTTATTATTTGAAAATTTATCCCAATAACAAAGGTTGAGCTGACTTAGCGTTTAGAAATAATTCAAGTGTACCAACAGACCACTCTCTATTCTATTTTCTAGGAAACTCCTTTGCAGATTATGTGGAAATAACTGGAAATAAGACCTGTTAAAAAGTGTTACCAAACATTCTTGCCTGCAATTTATTAAAGGTTTAACACTTAAAAATAATCACATTTTAAATCTGATGGTGCTAAACTGTGAGAAAATCCAGAACAAAAACAGTGCTATGTAAAATAATTCAGAATCTTACAACAAAAGGCAGGTCCTTTAATACTGTATTTCAGAATGATAACGGTTTCACGCAGTACCTGCTTTCCAGGCATCATCAGCCTGTGGATCAGAGGATCCTAGCACCCAGGAGGCGAAGGCAATGCAGACCAAACACATATCAGACTGCTTCAGCTTAGAGAAGATGCCCTCTCGCCCTGTCAGAGAGACAAACATGCACCGAAAAGTCTGTAGAATTCATTTAGTTGTAGCTGTGCTGTTAACACATTGTTTTTCCATCCTGTCCAGCATTTAAAGAACTCAGTCTTACTTGTTGCATGTCTGGTTCCCCAGATCCTCTGCTTCACTGCTACCTCTCCAAACACTTGAGCAGGAGGTGAAGAGACTCTTTCCTCATTGAGCACAGTTACTGGTGGACCCCCTGTCTTTATGGCAATCGTCTCAGTCTCAACTGGAAAAACCCACCCGGATCTCTGGCACCAGATGCTACCTTTGTCATGGAAATTAATCTTCCTTATCGCCAGGAAAGTTCTCCAACTGTGAGATCCACCTCCAGCTGCTGTTGATGACTCGCAGCCACTGGCCTGGGTGAAAGCACGAGACACGACTCTGACTGGAGAGACGTTCTCCTCCCTGCGGTCTGCACTCAAAAAAACATAATCCGGTTTTGGGAATGTGAGTTCTCTTAGCATGAGATGAGTGCATGAGAAGATCGGAACGGGCTTTTCTTTGCTGCACTGGAAATCATGGAGGGGAGAGAATGACATTTGATCCCTGAATGTACAGAGAGTGTAGTCAGACACAGGGGACACTGAGATGTCCTTTGGATCATAGACAGTGACGTGCCCAGAGTCATTCTCTGGTTCATCCTCTGTGAAAATATACTCAAACACTTCTGGAAAAGCTGTTTGGTAATGTTTATCCAGTATGTTTGTGTCGGATAGGAAGGACGCTGGTCTTAGTATCCCCAGGCTGTCACTCTCTTTCACAACCATGTTTTCCTTTGGAGACCAATAGCTGCTCTCAGCTTGTATTTTGTATATACCTTTGCTTTTTGTTATTTGTCTTGGCCATGCAAGTTTGCATGTATGTGACTCCTGATCCTCAAAACACTGTCCTGCGAAGTCCTCTAAAAGCACAGGTGTCTCCTTTCCATCAGAGCTCGTGGATGTCTCCTCCTCCTGTAAGAAGAAAGGAGAGTCATTCATTCTTTGTTGGGTTTTGCCTTGAGGATCGGGACTGGTGCTCCTGCTGGTGCCAATAAACTGCCAGTAGTCCTCTTCAAAATCTGAGGTGGAAAACTCAGAGTTTGAGCGATGTGGCTTGGACTCATCAGGCTGTGTGAAATAGTCAGAATCAGCAGTGTCCAATGCATCCATTAGACCGCTGTCAGAGAGACGATGCTCCAAAGTGTCAACCAAAGAACTGTGATCATCTACATTTAATGTCACTGTTTCTTGTATTTCCCTGGGAGATGCGCTTCTACTCATCCTAAGCTGCAAGATGTCGTTTATTGTCAGTTTTTCCATTTCATCCCAAAATGTAGAAATGGCATACACAGGTCGCATGTGGCCGACAGCTTCACCATATGTTTCAGGGCTGTCGGCCATGAAGCAAGGTGTTATAGTTAAATCAGGAACAGGGAGAGGACTGAGCAGACTTCCTGAAGAAATAGCAGATGCCGAAAGATTGATTTTGTGTTTCTGGGGTACAGGCTTGTCTGAGGGCATGCAGAGTGCTGCGCTGCATGTGTCATGATTACATGCAGTATTATCTGGCGTTTTGTTGGCTCTTCGGCCGGCGGATGGAAAGGTCAGGGTAGGCTCAACAATAGTGCTTTCATAGCCACCACAGCTGGTGGCTGGTACACTACAGCAGGGAGTGCTATCACAACAATATACTTCTCTGTGCTGTATATCAGTCTGATTTGATAGAGGGCTGTTGGTTGTTAGAGATAATGAGGAGTGCAATTGTTGTTTTTCTGTGAGATGGTCTTTAAGAGGATGTTGAGGTTCCTCCACTGATTCAGCAGCAGACAAACTGTTTTCAGAGTCATAAGTGTGAATAGAGGAGAACTCAACGTTGTCTTTGAGCTCGTCTGAGTTGACAATGTCCAGCTGTGAAGGGTCTTTAGGGGTAAATGTGTCCAGTGATGTGGAGCTGCCAGGTTCATGTTTGTTCCTGTCCACCACTGGCTCAGTATTATGTCCTTTTGGGCAGTGAGAGAATACCTGTTTTTCCGGCACGGTGTCTACTTCACAAGACACTTGCAATAAATCTGAAGTGCTCTCAGGAATTATTTCAGCACTTGGACACTGTCTTAAGCTTTGAAACAAATTTTGTTTTGATTGAGTGAATCCCCTCACGTCCCTCCCCCCCTCAGATGCATTTTTATCTTTGTTTATCTCCAACTCCAAGTCATGTTCAAGTGATTTCTCCTGCCTACGACTGCAAATGCGACTGTTCTTACAGGGTTTTTTTTGCCATCTTTTTTTTTTTACAGAGGTGGCAGCCACCGGCCATCCTGCAGGGCTATCGTTCACTGTCACGAACCACCGCTCCTTCTCTGCATGTGAAGCGACAGTGCTCACGTCCTCGCTCACAGTTCCCTCTGTAGCATGTTGCACATTCACATTTACTTCTGTTTGGATTAGAAACAATGGATCATGTTTGTTTCTGGAATGATCAGTTTCTATTTGCAGATCTTCATCTTCTCTTTTCAACACTCCTGATACTCCTGAGCACTGAACATGTACTTGTTCAGTTTGAGGTGTGTCTCTACTGTCATTTGTCTCCTCTGTGATGTCTTCTGCAGTTTTCATGTGCACCTCTTTTGCACTGAGGGTATTTCCTTCAGGACAAACGAGGCATATTTCAGACTCCACCTGTGACACTCTGTCTTGTTCCCCTCCTGTAGCACTCTTGTTCAGATGCACCAGTAACTCAAAACAGCTTGCTCCTTCTGTGCTGCATCCTGCATAGCTGCTCTCAGCTTCATCACTGCTCACATCAGGACTCTGCTGTGGCTCCTGCTGGCCTGTGCTGAAGACTGAACACAAGTTTGTTGAATCCTCTGATTCGCTGAGGCTCAAGCTGTCAGAGCAGGCAAGTAAAGGCTGCTGCAAACTGCACTCCTCACTGTCCTCACAGAAGCTTGTCCAGTCGTACTCAGCAATGTGCATGCTATGATCTAGATCATCCATTTCAATACATCACATGCTCTTCAGTCTGAAAAAAGATGAGTGGTTGGAATGTTACAGATTTTGATTAGGATTTTACATCAAAAATACCAAGGCACAGTTCATCCTTGATGTGCCCACTGAGTTATAGGTAGTTACATCAACACATCTGAATTTAAATGTGTTTTCTGAAGCTTTACTTAGCTTGTAATCAGGTGCCAGTAGGAAACTGTTGTTTAAAAAGCACAAAAGCTGCTATGGTGGTTTAAAGACCTCTGAGAGCAGCAGAGGACTTTGGGCACAAGCTCCATAACAGACCCCAAAATACTCTAGGTCATGTGACCTGATAAGACGTTCAGCTGTCCAGTGTCAGGGTACAGTTTACTGTATCAAATTAACAAACACTCTCTGTGAGTTTTTATTTAGAAATGCAAACTTGTTACAAAAGTAAATAAACATATTTTTACTATAAACAGTGCCTCCTCAAATTTCTTAAAACATACAGTATCTTATATTTGGCATTTGGTCAACAATGTTTGCACTGTTTATCTTCAGGTTTAAATGTTTTCATTGTATATAAAGGTGTGTAGTTATTAAGATGAGACTAATTTTCAGCATAACAGACTCTTTATTAAACTCTTTCTTCTGCCTTAAGTCAAAGTCATTAAAGGTCAAACTAACACAAAGCTTCAGTAAAGTACTGTGGTACTATGTTTTTAATAGTAAATAAGAACCTACCTGTTGCAAAGGGAGGAAACGTTCAGTTTGAAGGCACCAGTGTTTTCTCCCTGCAGGGACATTTCTGTTCTGGTGTCTGTCTGTCCTTGCATATGTCAGGCTGGGGCCTTGCACTCAGCTGTTATAAATATAGGAGTGTGTCCAGTCACATGTAGCTGCTGGTGCAAACATCCTTCCCTATGTTAACAAAGGTTTGACATTTCTGTGCACTAAAATATAAGCTGCCCTACATTTTTCAGGGGTAAGATCAGTAGTGGATCATATTTTTAGACTATAACATAACAGACATACAGTACATGAACAGTAGACATTCCTGTTGTGACAAAGGATATTTTATTCATATAATTAACTTAAAATGACAAAATCTGAGCAAATGTCAAATCTTTTTTATAAATTTACAAATATATTTTATTTTTAAACCACACTTTAGCCTGTTTTAGTTGAATTTCCTTCCTAAATATGATTTTAATCACAAAACCTTGCTGTCATTACAATCACTGTAATCCTAGAGTATTTAACACTTTCACTAGTTTCTGCAAATGCTGAAATAAACAGGACTGTGGGGTAAATATACAGTATATTTTCAAAATGCATCTATAAATGTAAATTTGATTATATTTACCATCCCATGACTAGTGCATTAAAAAAAAAAGCACAGAAACAATGAATAGGGAAAGGTCCTTTATTTCTGCAAACATTACACACATCTTCATGGCACTGAAACTAGAATATATACATTACAATACACAAATTGTATAAAAACAATATGTACATGTATTCAGTTTATGGTTGTCTGTACAACAGCAAATACGAAGCAAAAAAATAAATTAAAAAAAATTCATGGTATGATCGCTTTTCCGATTCATTTCAAATTGCTCCACATATACTGAACAAGGAACTGAATCTTTACCGCCTTAGTGTTGTCTAGATATAAAAACTATATGATCTAATACCGCACAGCAAATGAAACCAGCCTTTGTTTAAAACTGAGCACAATCAAGGCCCCTGGATATTATTCATCACATTGAGACCAAACGTTTCCCCATATAAAACTCAGTGGCCCACAAAAATCACAGTAATGGCATACAGTAAAAGCCAGTTTCTTCAGACAACATTTGGCAAAGCTAACAGTAGTCAAGTAATGTTCACAATGCAACAATAATGTTGCCAGTTATAAAACAAAGCAATCTGAACCATATTTGATATCAACAAGTTAATTATTTCTTTAAATTAAGGTTCAACATTAGCTGATGACAGCAGGCAGAGAAAAATATTGGAATTAAAATGTACTTCATTGGGAAAAAAAAGGTATTTAAAAAAAAAGTAGAAGGATCACAGAACTTCATATGATAAGAAAACAGGATTTTGTGGTAAAAGGGGGCTGCTGTGTTTGTTGTACACGTGAAATACGTTCACCTTGGCTGAGCTCACAAAATTAAATACATATGAAACAAAATAAAACAGATCAATTAATCAATCATCGATCCGGCTCCTACAGTAACTCTCCCTAAAACGTCCTGGTCCACCAGAAGAATACCAATGCTACTAGACACAAACTTGGCTTGATTCTAATAAGTAAAAGTCAGTGCTTTTTTACAAAGTGCAAATAAGTAGTACTCGTGCAAAAAAAAAAAATTAAAATAATAATTATGTCATCATAGTGACGTCACTTTGTCCCAGAAATCAGTGTCACTGTCAGCTTGGTCACTGGCTGGATCCATCTTGAGTTTAAACAGACAAATCCACATATTTATGAAACCGATCACTTAAAATAACAGTTGTACACTTTGGGAAATGCATCTTTTGCTTTCTTGCTCAGATGAGAGGATCGATATAGAACGTAAATGTGTCAGGAGATGTTAGCTTAGCACAAACACTGGAAACAGATGAGGGGCAGCCAGCCTCACTCTGTACAAAGATAACAAAAATCAACCTCCTGCACCTCTAAAGTTTGCTAATGAACACATTAGGTCCAATTTAAAAAAAAAAAAAATCAAAAGGGGACAAAAAAAAGTTTGATGTTGCCGATTACATTCCAGCTGTTCTCAGGAAATAAAGAGCAGTTTGAGAGATATAACGCGTTAATTACTGATTTTTACAGGTACAACTTTTTTTTTTTTTAAACCTTTGGAGAGCACCAGGCTAGCTGTTCCTAATTTTTCCAGTCTTTGTGCTAAGCTAAGCTAACTGGCTGGTGGCTCCAGCCTCATATGTACTTTACAGACAAGGGAGTGGCATCTTCTCTTTGTAAGCACATTTCCCTAAATGTTGAAGTATTTCTTTATCAATGTGTCACACTTTCATTGCCCAAGTTTAAAAAGTCAACTGAATATACTGTACCTGTCAAACAACAGATAAACTGCCTAATAACAGTGTTTTGACTGAGAGATGAATGACTCATCACAGCAATGCTGCAGGAGTGCACAGGAAATACACTTCGGCTTGTGATATTTCAAATGAACAAATACTCAAACTTTTTCCTGGATTATTTTGTAGTTATTGTTGTGTCTGCTTATTTTCAAAGAACAAAAATGAATTTAATGTGAATGAGTTAAAATGGTCTGACTGGGTACTGATTGTTTTCATTAAAATACACCGAGTAAATGCACCAGCTGCATTTACGGTTTAATTTGGCCACAAGTCAGCTGGTCTTTTTCACTTTTCTGAACCTTCACAAGAGAAGAAAATCAAACATCCTTTCTGAGCTTCCTCTCCTACCTGCACCAGTATGCCCATCCCTCTTCCTACACATTATAGACTTTAGTAGTGGATGTGCTGGGTAAGGTGGTGGCACTGTTCACTGCTGACGACGCAGAGGGCCGCTCCCTTCTGACATATCTTGGCTTCCTCACTTCAAAAGAAATACAAAAACATACAATCATATGTGTAAAAAAACAAGGAGACATGCACTGAAGCTGTCCGTTGCACCCCCATTTAGCATGTCTTATGTGTCCCTTATATCCAAGATCACCTCTTTTGTGCATACGACACTCCTCAAAAAGACTAAAAACCCTCACTGGCATTGCCAAATAGTCCTGGATAATGTTTTAACTGCTCGGATTTACTCACTAGCTTCACACAATACTATAACCTG